AAACGGCTAACCCCAGGCCCAGCCGGCGTTGAGCGTGGGCCCGTGAACCAGGAGGTCAGGGTTCGATTCCCGGCCAGGCACAGGCCTGGGTTGCAGACTCGATCCCCAGTGTAGGGTGTGCAGGAGGCAGCCGATCAATGGTTCTCTCTCATCACTGATGTTTCTCTCTCTCTCCCTCCCCCTTCCTCTCTGAAATCAATAACAAAGTATCTATATATTTTAAAGTGGGCCATGAGGCTGGAGAGATGGGCACGCTCCTGTTCCTGCCCGCCCCCCCACCCAGCTCCTGCAGGGGAGTCTCCTCAGGCAGGCACAGGCAGGGCCTGAGGTCCCAGCCCTCCACACACACCACACCTCTCTCCCGCCCGTCAGCTCGGCCAACCCAAGGGCAGACCGGGTCCCAGGCAGAGTTCAGCGAGAGGAAAAGGGGGGAGGTGGCTTCCCCTTCCTCGGGTCCTTACCTTTCCAACCAGCTGCACCTCAGCCCCCTCCCCCTGCAGCCTCCTCACCACTGGCTGGGAGGCGCCCTCGGGGAGCACGATGGTGGCGGGAATGCCCAGCTTCCGAGCGCAGTAGGCAGCCGCGATGCCCGCGTTGCCCCCTGTGGAGGCAGCAGAAGGCGGAGCAGTGGGCAGCGTTGCCTTAGCCTGTTGACAGACCTTTGCCCCTCCCCCTCCATTGCCCCGTACGAGTCACCCCTCCCCCACACCTAGACGCCCCACGAGGGAGCCCTCTCCCTGGCCTCAGAGGTGGACACGTGATCTAGATGGAACCCATCAGAGAGCGCCATCGCCTGACCCATGACGGGTTCGAGGATGAGCACATGATCCAAGCTGGGCCCAGAAGACCGAGTCATGGGTTGAGGGGAGCTGTGGGGAAGGAGGGGTGCTCCCTTTTCACTGGGGTTCGCAGGATGGCAAGAAGCAAGCCTCACCCTCCTGGCGGCCATCGCGCTGCCACGAGGCCTGAGTGAGAAGGAAGCTAGTAGAGAGGAAAGAAAAGCCAGGAGTAAGGAGGGCTACGGATGAGAGCGCCTGGATCCAGCTGTGCCTGAAAGCCGTTTCTCCTGAGACTTTTCAGTTCTTGGAGCCCGGAGCTTACACCTGTATGAACTGGGTTTCGGTCACTTCTACTAATGATGGGAACGGGGCTGGGAGAGCGCATGCCAATGGCCATCGGACCATGACCTTGAGAGGCTGGACCCTGAAGAGGAGGCCGAGCCCTGGATGTCTGTGGCTGCTCCAGCCAGCGCCTCCTCCCCCACACCCAGCCCCGGGGACCCTCAAGAGCAGAAAGGTGTGGGGTCACCTGAGGAGCACACCAGGTGCCTGCATCCCTTCTTGGCCGCCTGGGAAGAGAAGGAATGGGGTTGAGGGCAGGGGTCACGGACCCCCTCCCGTTCCAACACCCCCACCCTCCCTCCCTCTGGTACAACCTCACTGCTCCCCTCCCGCCCGCACACCCTCACCTCCTGGCAGAAGTGCCCGATGCCCCGGATCTTGAAGGAGCCGGCCGGCTGCACGTTCTCACACTTGAGGAAGACGGTGGTGCCCGCCACCTGGGACAGCGCCCAGCTCTCCAGCAGAGGCGTGACCACGTGGAAGTGCCCGCCCTTAGCACACTCCGCCAGAGGAGTCTCCATCCCGGCCTGGGGAGGACACGGGGCCACAGCCCAGGCAGCTCCAGTCAAGGCTCCCCCTAACCAGGTACATGCCCTTGACCAGAATCAAACCCCAGACCCTTCAGTCTGCAGGCCGCAGCAGGAACAGCAGAAAGAACCACACCAAATCTAGAAATGAGCTTGAGGAGATTGGGCGGGAGCAGGAGCAGGCGGTGGGCAGGGCCATGGGGAGGGCGTTCTAGCCCAAAGCGGGGGATTGGGACGTTATTCTAATTCTACTTGCAGTGGGAAGCAGTGAATGAACCCGTGGGTCAGGGCGAGATTGAAGAGAGGGAGGAAATGAAAGGAAGAACAAAATAGAAGAATTTGTATAGGAGCAAATTCACTGCTGTGCCCTGCAATTCCACTATTGGCCACTAGGAGGAGCACTGCGCCCTCCCTACCCACCACAAGCCCAAGCCTCTTGTTCACCCTTACTTAGTCAGGGAGGGGGCCCCGTGGAAGAGTCCCAGGTCTACCGGCCCTGGGGTTGACCCTCTGGCCTTCGTTGGGATGGCCCTGGGGTTCCCCAGGCCGGGCGCAGCCCGAGCCACCTCCAGCCGGGGCACTTCGCGAGCTGAGCGTGGCAGTGGCGAAGAGCAGCATACCTTGACCTAGACCTCACCTCGGCCCCAGGGCCCAAGAGTGTGGACTGTAGGGCCAATCAGAGACCAAAGTTCGAGACCAGCTATGACTTTCCGACTGTGCAACCCAGAGCAGTGTCTCAACCTCTCTGCGCCTGTTTCCCTTTCTGTAAGCTATGACTAACAGTCCCAGGCTCACAGGCTATGGTGCCTATTGCTGTAATGATAGCTACCCTTCGCTGAGTCCCTATGATGCCCCAGACATCGGCTGAGTCCTCCAGAGGCGTTACCTCACTGGGGCCCCGACGATGCTAGCGGCTCCCCCTTACTCTGCATGTTTACAGGGCATCACAAGGTGCATCTTAGAAACTGGAATAACATGGGAAACAAGACATGTCTACTCTTGCAGCTGCCTTATAGTCTGAGGGAGAGACCAGCATTCGACAAATCACTGTATAGACAATCAAACTAGGTAATCAGAAACGGCGAAAACCGCTATGAGGGGAACGCGCGTGTAGGGAGTCCGGAAGAGAAGAGCAAGGGGACCCACTTTGGGTCGGGAGGTCAGGAATGACCTCTGGGAGGCGGCGACCATTAAAACTGAGGCTGAGCCCTGGCTGGTGTGGCTCAGTTGTTTGGAGCATCTTCCCATCTACCGAAAGGCTGCAGGTTCGACTCCGGGTCAGGGCATGTGCCCCCTGTTTCAGGCTCAGTCCCTGGTGGGGGCGTGCAGGAGGCAGCTGATCAATGTTTCTCTCGCATCAATGTTTTTTTCTCTCTCTCCCTCCCCCATGTTTTTCTCTCTCTCCCTCTCCTTTCCTCTCTCCCTAAAAACCAATGGAAAACCTTTCAAAAAGAGAAACTGAGGCCCAGAGAGGTTGAGTAATTTGCCTAAGGTCACACAGCTAGAAATGGCACAGCCAGGATTCAAACTCGGTCAGTGTGCTTTGGCATCTGTGCTCATAACCACAGGCAGCGTGAAGCCCAGGGCTTGGGTTCAGGTCCCGGCAAGCATGGCCGTGGCCAGGCCATCTTTCTTCCTGGGCCCCACCTGGTGCGTCCATGAGTTGGGTAAAGACCAACCATCTTTTCCACCTCCCTGTCCCTCGGGCCTTTCCCCAGAGGCCACTGGTGACACTCCCCAGCCAAGTCCCTGGCGCCAGGGCTGGGAGGCCCGGACCGGCCTGGCTGGCAGCGTGTTCACCCCTGCCCCTCTGGCAAACAAAGCCTCTCTCCTGCAAGGCAGGCTGGTCCCGGGCACCCTGAGTGGAATCGATATTCCTGGGAGGGCTTAGGCCACTGTCACCCTCTCTCCCTTTCCACCCACTCAGCGGGGACTTTGCCCCAGAACCTTTCAGACTCCCCTACATGCATCTCCTCATGTGCACGCAGAGCCCCAGGGGCCCCCGTTTGGGCCCCAGGCCACCTTACCTTTCTGCTCAAGAGTCCCGGATCCAACTTGGCTGCAGCCTGCTGCCCACAGCCTAACTGGAACCAGCTCTGCCCGGCTTCTGCCAGCCTCCCCTGGCCTTGACCCCTCCTCCCGTGTTAAAGGGACAGCTCCCCGCTGGAGAGCGAAAGAGGATGAGATCCACCTCACCGCCTCCCTGTGTGCCATCCGCGGCGCAGGCATTCCCTGGTCCCATTCGACAGGCCCCCTCGCTCATCGTCCCCCCACGGCTCCCCATGGCCCTGGGCTAGGACGCCTGTCAGCCATGCTGTGTTTTTGGTGACCAGGCGACCCAGGCACCCTCAGCCGCGGCCCTCTTCACACTGGGGGGGTCTGGGAATGGAGAGTGATGCCATCGCCTTCTTATACCTTATGTCTCATCAAATGGCAAACACCTGTAAACGGCTAACCCCAGGCCCAGCCGGCGTTGAGCGTGGGAATCAATAAAATATATTTAAAAAAAGAAAGAAAGAAACTGAAGCTCCGAGAGGGAAATCCACGTGGCTGAGGCCGTCCCGCCCGTGAGAAACACCCTTTGTCTCCCACCCTGGCCTGCCTCTCCCACCACACAGACATCTTTGCGTAAATGCTGGTCCCATGAAAGCAAAGAAACAGTTGTCACGTGAGACAGGCGTCTTTTCCGGCTGCACTGCCTCATCTCTGACACCTCACGCCCCACACGGGAGCCGAACGATTATTTATTTTTCAAATGAATGGCTCTGGCGATTGGTTCATTCGTTCAAAAAATATTTACTGGACACCTATCATGTGTCACATCCCAGGACCTTTAGCCTCAAACAAAATAGCATGTTCCCTGCCCTCCTGGAGCCTCAAGGGGTCACTGAAGAGTAGTTACAATCAGTGCCATCAGGCACAGGGCTGCCGGTGCCCGCAGCAAGTACGTCACTTGGCCTTGAGGACTGGAAGGCTTCCCGGAGAGGAGGAGGAGGAGGAGGAGGAGGAGGAGGAGAGGAAGCTGAGCTCAGCCAGGAATCAAGAACATGGGGTGCAAAGGTCTGGAATGGAAAAACATGGTGGGACTGGAACCAAGAAGGCAGGGGCGAGGCAGCAGGAGGGTTTGGGGCTGGAGAGGTGGGCAGGGATCAGAGTCCACAGGGACAGCTATGCCAACCCAGAGCCGGGGCCTGACCCAGGGGCACTTGGGAGCCATGGAAGGCTGTGGGCAGGAGGAGGATATAACCAGATTCCCAGCTTGTCTCCTCACCGTCCCACGGGGTGAACTGAGCTAACCACATCCATCTGGTTTCCCTGTGGCAGATGGGAGGTGAGGTCCCGGTGTACCCTTCTTGGACTTGGGGCGACCTCCTCGGGGTTGATGATTAACTCCCGGCCACCTGGGGTGAAGTCGAGCTGCTTGGCCCTGATCCCTGATGAGAACGCTGACAGTTTCATTCCCATCCGCACGTTAAACACGCGCCCATCCTCCCGTGTTCTGTCCTGAACGGGGCGCTGGGAACAGAGCTGGTAAAGCCCGGTTCATGTCCTGAGGTGGCCCCCTGCCTGGACGGGAAAGAAAGACGCCCAACTCAGTGACATTTCCCACACCCCCCGGGACAACAGAGAGCAAAAAGTCCCCACAGGACAGCTGAGGGTGGGGTGGGATCAGGGAGGGCTCCCTGGAGGAGCAGGGCCTTAGCACACAGCTCGGGCTTGGGCAAGAAGCACCGCTTGCTGCACTCATTGCATGCCTACTGTGTGCCGGCCCTTCTGTATTGGCCGGTATATCCTAAAGGCTCTTTAATGGCTGGGTTTTTATTCGTGTGCAGTAGGAGATGCCTAACCATAATGTCATGGAGATCCTTGCTTCAGAAGAAGTTAGGTGGGTGTTAACGTTTCATAATAGAGTCTGTTTTGGGGGGTTTTATTTTTTAATCTTAAGTAATAGGAGTAGTTTCTGGCATGAAGAGGCAGTAGGCCTAATAGTTAGAACACAGACCCTGGAACCTGGCTCTGGTACAAGTAAATACCAACCTCCACTCACTGGCTGTGTGACGTTGGGTAAATTCATTAACCTCTCTGATTTGCTTCCTCAACTGTAAGATGGGGATAAAATGCTTCCCTAGCCCTAACCGGTTTGGCTCAGTGGATAGAGCATCGGCCTGCAGACTCAAAGGTCTCAGGTTCAATTCCGGTCAAGGGCATGTACCTGGGTTGCGGGCACATCCCCAGTGGGGAGTGTGCAGGAGGCAGCTGATCGGTGTTTCTCTCTCATCGATGTTTCTAACTCTCTATCCCTCTCCCTTCCTCTCTGTAAAAAATCAATAAAATATATTTTAAAAAAAATACTTTCCTAGTGGAACTGATGGGAAGGTCGAGTGAGTTAATATACATACAACACTTAGAGCAGCGATGAGGGACTCTGCGTTGACTGCTGCCGTTAAAATCAATAAAATATATTTTTTAAAAAATGCTTCCCTAGTGGAACTGACGGGAAGGTCGAGCAGCGATGAGGACTCTGCGTTGACTGCTGCCGTTGTTACTGTTGTCATTGTCACTCTTATAACAGACAGCGATGTGACCAAAATGGCAGCGTCCGAGGTTTGGGAGCATGACGTCATGACGTCGCGGAATGTTGACAGCACCCTGGGGCGGCGAGGATGGTAATGAACTCTCCGTCGTGGAATCCGACTTAGCTCAGAAAGGTCAAGTCAC